GGTACAACAGATATGGTGTTTGCCTGTCAACCCAGAGGTCCGGGATGTGATTTGTAGGATCGGGGCAGGCACATTGTCTAGCGAATTATAGGCGATTTCCAGGTTGAGAGCCATAGATACGGGGTACATGGAAGCTGAACCAATAAATTGGAAAAAAGAATATTAATCCGCAGACGAAAAAGAGGCTAAAATAGCACCTGGACATGGACGGCTGGTGCCTCTATAAATGAATCATTGATGGTCAAGGTCAAGGTTGTCTTCTTGGATAAGGACGAAGATTTTCGGAGATCCCGATCGAAATTTCCACGCGTTTAAGATCCTTTGGTGGGTCTAGAATCGAAGGAGTTGGCGCTTCGGGAAAAGGTCAACATGAGTTCCTACCGAAAAAAACAACTGAAGCTACTCTATAATCGAAAACAGCATGTGGTCGCCCATCAAGCAAGGGGTGATTTTACGCTCTATGTGAAGATAAAACGGCTTTGTACGTAAAAAGAACGAGCTGGTCTGTGAGATTTAGATCTTACAGTCAGTTACTCCCTGAGTTCTAGAAGTGGCACAAGAAGTCGACTGGAATGAACACAGAGCTTGAATAAGGTGCCGGCAATCTAGATTGGACTCCGTGAAGTGACATTTCAAAAAGCCCGTTTTGAGCAGGGGTTGTTGTTTTGTTTTTTGTTGTTGTTGTTTGTTTGTTGTTGTTTGTTGTTTTGTTTTGTTTTTTGTTTTGTTTTGGGGGGGGGGGGTTATAACACGAATCCCTTTGAAATGGATGTGAAATATAACACGAATCCCTTTGAAATGGATGTGAAAAATCTCAAGATCAGACATTATTTAGGTGGATCAATGTAGGTGTTCATACGCCTCCATCGACACAATTGGGATCATTTAGGAGACGGGCTTTCGACCCTGACTATCACTCAGTATCAGGGCCAATCCAGAGCTGAGAGAGATAAACATCCCAGCAAAAAGACTAAGATACTTGATAGAAATTTTCTCTCCACGCAAGAATTTAAGTAGGGTCTCCTGCGTGAGACAGTAGAGCGCCTAACGGCTCCACCATATAAGATCTACGCCGGTTCACACATCATCTGATATGCAATGTATTCTATTTTGACGATATTTTATTAAAAACAGTTATATAATTTCTGTTAATTATTTATTTGTTTTTTTTGCCAGCAACGGGACCATCCAGCTGGATGACTCTTTCGCCTCCTGTCGTGTGAATGTGACGACAACCAACCCAACGACAAACAGCAACAACAACAACAACAACACTGCCTCAGTGATGACGCCGCTGCTGTCTCTGACAGTGGTGACAGCCTCAATGGCCTTGGCCATACCCCCCGTCCAGTTCCTTACACCATGAGTAGAGTAATCTGCTACGTTTAACCTATCTGTGCCCGTGGTTTTATGCACCCCGCATAATTTAGCAAAATTTGATCATTTTTAAAATAAATTTCTGATTATTTTCCTTCATCATTCTCTGTTAAAAATTAACCGATTGCACATTTTTGGGCTCAGTTTGCATAATTTCAGAATTTTTCTTGCAGAACAAAACGACCAGGACAGACCTATAAATTGTCCAGTTCATGAAACTTGCTGTCAGTGTTACAGAATATTTTGTAATCACCAAAATGATAGATATGTACTACAGTACTCTCTATGCATTTTGCTTTAAAGGCACATTCTACTAAAGGATTCCTTCCAATGATACACTATATGTATCCATGGTGGATAAAACGTATTTAAAAATATTTTAAAGAATTTTATTTTCAAAAGAAATCTAACCATTAAACGTGCATAAATTTTTTAATTAAAAAAGTGCAGCTTTTCGTTCCTATATATATAT